TGATTTGCTGCCTAGGTCTCTGATTTATTGATCCCCTTAAGTTCAATAAGCCTCTTCAGCACTCTCGAGGTCGATGAACAGCTGTTTTGAATCCCTGCCAAATAGTTCAGATGGGGGACTAGGAGAAAGTATAGGGTCAGAGAAAAACAAAAATACATCATCAGACCACTAAGCTTATAACACACAGTCATTACCATGTAATTACAGTCAGTTAAACACTTTAGCAAAAGATTACTGAATAAAATACTACTAATAAAAACAATAATACAACAATAATATACATTAATAAAAACTTACTACCTACTTAAAAAAAATCTAGAAATACATCCAACAAACAATTGTTTTCCTCACATGATGGTTTCAGTTTTGGCATAATTCACAAAAAATAAGACGATGAAGGTATACCACCAAAGTGTTATGAATCAATATTGAAAGGTATGTTATGAAACCTTGTTGACTAACTATAACCACATAAAGAAAAATATTTTTGTTCTTTCTGTTTTGTTGTCGTTTTCTTTAGCGATTGAATTTATGGCCAACAACGCCCCCTACTGGTAAAAATAACACTTAGATTAATAATTTAAAAATGAAATAATTTAATTGAGTGTGGTTCTTGTTGTTCATTATTTTTATTAATATTATTATGGTGGTTAGATCATTAAGAAAAACAATGACCAGTGTCATATTATGTCAGTTAGATGGTATATCGGGGAATATACTTAAACATCGTCCATCCCTGAGCGCAAAAATGCCTTTATCTAAGCTCCGCCCATAGCCCTGGAATAGCCCACCGAGGCTGAAGATGGTGGGATTACCATACTTTAATGTTCATTTTGTGTATACAGAATCATATTTAAACGATTTATAATAAACATGTTAATGAATCCATATATGTCGCATGCCTTATCGAGTCTTTTGGGCATTTTCTTTGGGTAGTTATGGTTTATTGATAAAGTCAAGTCACCCCCGCGGATCACACAACGTGCGCCCTCCAGACGCGGAAGCGAATCGCAGCTGTCAAACAGATTTGATTGTAAATCGGACTCAGCACTACTCTAACGGGAAAACATCACTTAGCTGTGCTTCACAATGGATTCCCCACGTTGGCTGCCTCTTGAGTCAAACCCAGAAGTATGTTTTCCTGGTTTCCTTCAGAACATGTTGTTTTATCGAAGTTATTCATTCTCAAACATGTGAGAGGCAGCTAACTTGAAGCTATCAGAGAGAACAAAAGCTAAAGCCGTTGTCGCCGCTTTGCTAACCCAACAACATTTTCATTAACGTTTTCCATTTGTGTCTTCTCATTTCAGGTCATGACTAAAGTAAGTGTTTTCTTTTTATATTTTCCGTAAAACACGATAGAGTAGTCAAAGCAAATAACCAAACCGGTTCGGAGAGATGCAAGGCCTACTCAGCAGCGGTGTTGCACCTAATGTTATTGTTAAAAGGTTCATATTACATAATATGATGTAATAATGTCATGTAAACAGACTGACAGGAAACAAGAGTGAAGAAATCTGATAAATTTAAAGTTTTGTCAACTTGCCCTGCTTCTAATTTTAAGACGTTCAGTCATTTTCCTCATACTTTTCATCCAACTTTCCAGCTGTTTCAGTCTGCAGATAGTGCGGTGTGTTTGATGTCATTCGCAGGACGCACACTAGATGATTACGTTACACTTTATTGCACAGGTTCCTACAGCTAAGAGTATTATGTAGCATAAATTAAATGGTGTTTTATTGATACAGATTAATTAATGTCGTTCAAGTGTGTAACTACTCAAAAGTGGGCGTGAATATGAAAATAAATCAAATTTTGGGCGCATAGACGCAGATGATATAGTAATGGATTACCGGTTTGTAGTCGAGATTTTGAGTGAACTCTGATATTGTAGGATACTGTAGTTTGTTTGTTTGTTTGTTTGGGGGGGTAACCAAAAAACTATTTTTAAATTGTTCTTAACACTTGTTTAATACAAACATCAAACAGAATCGCAACTGCATCCTCCAAGCACGAATCATCATCCTTCTAAATAATTTTTCACCAAATATTAAACATTATACACTTCATGAAGGCAACTCTTTTTTAATTTATCACTTTTTTAGTTTTTTGCTGATAGACTGATTGACTGTTTTAGCTGCAGAAGGTGTCATTTAGCAATTGAGTGTTTGGTTGAAATAAATAATGAAGGAAATTTTGTATTTTCTCCACAAAGTGTCAAAAATAATTTCCTGAAAACGGTGTTACTGTAAAAAGTGCTTCTTATTATGTTGCTATTCTATTAACAGTTTTAGTTTTCAAGTTTAAATTCCTGACATACAGTGGCATAATGTTTAATTCTATACCAGTTAAATTACATTGAATTGTCAAAAGTCGAATGTTACAGAAACATATCCTTTTAGGTAGAAATCTAATTTTCAGATGGTAATTAGGAGCCAGCTATTGTATTTATTTTAGATTTAAAATGTCTAAGTTTATTTTGATCTGCATGAATTTGCACTCCGCTTGTGTGTAGTTTGTTAGCTGTCTGGGTATGAAGCCAACCTGGCAGTTTGGGGATGTGTATGGATTGGATCCGGAGCTTCTCAGCATGGTACCAAGACCAGTGTGTGCGGTGCTACTCCTCTTTCCAGTGACAGAGAAGGTACCTGTTATAAGTCACGTATTTTCATTATCCATATGTCAACTTTACATCTGGTTAGGAAACACTGTTAAACTGATTTTCTCTCATCTGTCATGTCTGTCTAGTATGAGGCATTTAAACAAGAAGAGGAGGAGAAGCTCAAAGATCAGCCTCAGGTCTCTCCAGACATCTACTTCATTAAGCAAACTATTGGAAACGCTTGTGGAACAATAGGATTAATTCACGCTGTGGCAAACAACCAGGCACATCTGGAATTTGGTGAGTTTTCATTATATTTTTTATTGAGGTTACTTTAATGATCATTTAGCTTTATTTAGACAGTTTTTTTTTTCTATAGCCATCTATCTTGTTTGGTTTTTGATGAACTAATGTGCAAGACCCTATGCGTGTATATCAGTGAAGTTGGTGTTGCTAGGTGCCTGTTACATGCATAAGAGCGGCAGAATATTAGAAACGTCATCAACACTATGCAGCGTGCCCAAATAAT